GTGAAGCCAGAATGCTCCTTGGAGTCAAGGATTCTGAAGCTTCGTCTGACATACTTTGGACATGTTGCAAGGAGGGACTGGTCCTTGGAGAGGGATGTCATGTTTGGCAGAGTGGAGGGGCGGCGAAGGAGAGGAAGACCTTCAATGAGATGGATCAATTCAGTGACTGGAGCAGTGGAAATAAGTGCTTTTGAGACAGCGAGCTTGGCACAGGATAGAAGAGCGTATAGAGCTCTTGTACATAGGGTTGCTATAAGTCGCAAACCACTCGATGGCACATAACAACAACTACAATCAAAACCAGGGAAGCAGCACTTTGCCAGAGTTTGGTGCTGGAGGCATTATTTAGGCATTGATGAGTTCCTCAACTTTATCTGTGTCATTATTGGTGCTGTACACTGTTCCAGACTGCAAAGGTAAGTCTTTTTTATATTAAATAAGTCAGTCCTATCTTCTTTAATCTTGATAACTCCCTAGTGTATAAAACCAAAACAAAACCCCACAAAAAACCAGGCTGCTGTCTGCTCTCGCTCCTAGTAACCCCACGTGTGCCAGGGGAGAACTCTGCTCCACAGGGTTTTCAATGACTGATTTTCCAGAAGGTGATTTCCAGGTCTTTCTGCAGGAGGCCCCTGGGTAGACTCCCCCCCCCCCAACAGTCTATGCTCAATAAATGTTGGCTGATGGACTGATTCTCAGCTGTCTTGGTCTCATCAGTGAGATGAAAAGGATTCCAGTCTCGTTCAGAGGGGGCAGTACCTGGGTCACTGAGTCCAAAGTAGTAGGAGACTCCTGGCTGATGCTGTTGTGTGGGGCCTACAGCTGACTGTCCAGTGGGTTTTTAGATGCAGTAAATTGCGTCAGAGGAGATCACCCATCTTTCTACCTTGGCGCATCCTGATGGATTTGAACCTTGGGGTGGTCAGTGCAAACCCTTACTACTAGGCCACCAGAGGAGCCCTAAGTTCAAAGAAATAAAGGCCAATGAATGCAGGAATAATTGCATTACTATCTGAAAGATGACATTACATCCAACCATGGAAAAATTCTTTGGAACCAAAGCATGAATAGAGCAGAAAAGCACTAGTTAAATTTCACAGAGGAATGGAAGAGGAAGAAGGGGAGTGACCTTTCTACTGTTTCTTGACATCGGGAGGCAGCAAAGCTGGTACTTTATACACAATACAACGCTGACCTTATCTTTACAGCAGCCTCGACTACTAAAACTTGAAGTCTAAGAGACATCAAGTAACTTGTCCAGGGTCACACAGTAAATAAAAGGCAGAGCTGCAATTTGAATCCAGGCCTGTGTGATTCAGATCTTCTCACATTCATCAATCAATAAATGTTTGTGGGAGGGGAGCAGGCAGTGAGGAAGAAAAGAACGAAGTGAAGCTGACTTGCAGCCCTTTGTCTCTCAGGACTGAGTGCACTACACTGAGCTGTGTGCACAGGCCTTGTCTCGCCAGCATGGTTGAGTCCCAGGACTCCACCTTCTCTCTGTCCCCTCTCTCCCCACTGCCTTGCCAGTGCTGTGAACTGACATGACTGATTGTTCCAAAGAATGTTCTTTGTCTTCTGGGGTCTCTTCCATGGTGGCCAGATGCCCCTTGATAACTATATGTGACTTCCTTTTTTGTTTGTAAAAAAGGTTAGGTTGCCATGGACCACAGTACTTGATATTATAATTGTTGAATCTATTTATATCACATGGCTTTCAAGTGCAAATAAATTACTTGGCTGTTGATTCACATATTCAGTATAACTATTTTTATACACTGGTATGATTTTTTTTTAATGGAAAGTGCTTTAAAAGTAGACGCTGCATTGTATCACTGTGATTTTCCTGTAAGTAAAGTACTTTCCAATCAATCATTCTTGGAATAATGGAGCAGTTCTCATTGATACAACATGATGGTTTTAACCTTTTACTGAAAACTATTTTTGTGCCAAAAAGGGTGATGGCATAATTCGTCTTCCTTCAATAAATATACCCGTGTGGCTTTTATTCACCACCTTCTCACAGTGATTTCCTCTTTAGGAAAAGCTGTTCTCATAGCATGGACGTGGCAACCTGAAGTCCCGATCAAGGGCCTTCACACCCTGGGGCCTGTAGAAGTTCTGGTCTGAAGAAGCCAGGAGACAAATGGGGCATCTATCAGTGCAGTGAAAGGACAGCCAAATGTGATGGGGGGGACAACACGTGGGCCCACTGCAACAGTGTCAGTCCATCTGGTGGTGGGTCTTCCTCTGACCTTTTCAAGCACGTTGTCCCTCTCCCAAGAAATAGCCTCTTCTAGCAATATGCCCCAAGTATATGAGACAAAGCATTATCAAAGCTTTGTCTTCAAAGATGATAAATTTTTGCCTCCAAGGAGCACTCTGGCTGTACTTTCTCCGAGACCTATTTGTTTGTTCTTTGGGCCACCCATAGAAAGGAGAGGACTTTTAAGAGACCTCTCTTCTCATGGAAAGAGTGCTGCACCCTCCCCTACTTGCCTGGCAGAATTCCGGCCCTCTCCCCACCCACCACCTGGTCTCATATACTTCGGGCATATTGCTAGGAGAGGCTATTTCTTGGAGAGGGACAACGTGCTTCAAAAGGTCAGAGGAAGACCCACCACCAGATGGACTGACTGTTGCAGTGGGCTCAAGTGTGTCAAGAAATTGTGAGCGTGGCACAGGATAGGACAGGGCTCAGATCTGTTCACAGGGTCGCTATGGATGGTAGTGGACTCTACAGCACCTAACAACAACAAAAGCAACAACCTAGCTTGGGCGGGCGTGGGCCCGCAGGCTGTGCTCCAGGCACCTTACACAGGTGAGCACCTTCATCCAGTTTGCCCAAAGCGTCCCACACAGACTTGGAGCAGCTTTAGGGGATCCCACTTTAGAGCCCGGAGAATTGGAATTCAAGGCAGTTAAGTAACTTGCCCACGGTAAAAAAGGTGGTAAATGACAGAGTCAAGACCAAGTACACCTGCGTGGGAACTAAGCCAAATAGCAGGTGGAGAAAGTATTTGGAGGAGAGGTGGCTTTTGGCCACTGCTCAAAAATTTCCACTTCACTATGGGAAAGGCTTGTTTTCTGCAGTGTGGAAGGGATGGAAGAGAAAAACCCATCAAATGCCTAGGAAGGGTCCCCTGGGTGCTCAGGGCAGGAACAGAAGACAAACGTGAACTGAAGACTTGGCAGAAGTGAGAGAGTGTGTGTGAAAGGGGTGAGGAGAGGCTGGTCAACAGACCTGAAGAAAGTGAACTAAGGAAAGGGTGGAGGAGATAAGAACAGGTGTAGGAGAAGTGGTGAGAGAGCTGTGTCAGGCTGATGTGAAATTGATGATACATAACTCAAGTATTTCAGGAATTATTAGCCACGTCAAAGGAGTGGTCATGAGAGTGCTGGCTGAGGTGGCGTGAGGTGAGAGCCGCTTGAGTGGAGGACATCTAGAAGCCCAAAACCTGGCAGGGGTTCATACGCATGCCATCCTCCATAGTGGTAGCTCTGGGATGGAGAAGATGGTGAGGTAGCTGCCAAAGTCACAGATAAACTGAGGAAGGTCAAGGTGCAGTGACTGAATTCAAGGACATCAAAGATGCAAGACTCTTTACAAGAGGTCAGAGGAGGGGTGGCTGGAGGCCACAGGCATGGGCT